CTTTAAATACTCATATTTCTGACACAATCTAATCAGAACTCGAGTCGATTGAAAAAGTCAACCGTTTTGAGGAAACAGATCTGAAATGTAACAGTCACGATCTGAACAGTAAATGGTCAAATTTAGTGTAGTTTTCTATAAACTGGTGAGTTCACGGTGAAATTGCATTCCCCCGCGTTCCTCCACACTCCGAGGAGAAGGAGAAAAAACGAAAGATCTCAAGATAACGGCAAGATTATTGCACGGAAGTATTCAACCTCTAGACGAAGAGAGTCAAACAGTACTCAGGCCCTTCTTTTGCGCCTCAAGGAGTCGTGTGCGTACGTCAATAACACTACGGTGTGTTCAATCCCATTGCGATAATTCTCGGAACATCGAGATTTCTAGTATTGATGGACTTCGTCATGTGATAGAGTCATGTTTCGAATGAAGAGTCCTTTGATAAAAAGATTTCGTAATCTGACGAACCATACTCTTTCAATATATGAATGTGGGCGATGGGCCATGATACCCCTTACTTCATAAATCGAACAAATGACAAAGAATGGTGAGAGAAACGCGCTTTGTCGATTGAGAGCATCGAAAATTCTGACTATTAGACTGTCTCATATTTCTCTTGTTGTGGATTATGTTTGTTCACATTCCTGCGTGAGTTCTACAGTTTCATCCCATTGATACTGCACTGAGTTGTTCCAAAAATTATCTCAGAATAGTTTTTCCATTAAAAAAAATATTTTGAGAGAACGTTCGAGACAAACCTAAACGACACACCAAAGTTTTTAAAGAGTTCAATTAATCTGCATAGCAAATCAAACTCCATTTGAACTCAAAGTCTATTCTGCTCCAATACGATGCCAGTTTAATCCAATAAAATTTATACTACGTAGTGTGTGTCGTACAGTGAAATCGAACTGATACATAGTTCATTAAGATTGAATAGAAGTATAACTAACATCGTTTAACAGTAGCTTCGAGGAACCTCTAAAGCAGGTTTAAACACCGAATTTTAATTTTTTGCTGTCAGCAATGGCGCTTCCTCAATAAATGTCCCAACTTTTCAAGAGACTACCACCTTGCATATTCTGAATAAGAAACATGTAAATCCGTGATTTTATAGCAAAAACGGAGCTATAGAATGAACTCTTCAGCTTTAACCAGTGAAATACCTATCTATACGGGTTTGGTGAACTTTTCAGTAGTTCGGCTCTGTCCAGTATCAATCGGGTCGGTTTTATATAGTTTTTCTGAGTCTCTTTCAGCTGTGCATCCGACAGAAAAGGAAAAAGATCGCTAACAGAACGGGGATAGCGCGGCAAATAAATTCCAATTGATATTTCGTAATTCCTGTTGCAAAATAAGGTGTATTTTCAATGAATAGTACATATGTTTTGGAAATCCTGATTTATCTGCGAAAATCCTGATTTTTTTCTTCAAAATTCCTGTCCTGATTCCTGATTTTGCCTACTAGGCCGCTGCGACCCCTGTATATGTATGAAAGAAGATTTCAAAATGTTGAAATAGAGATAAAATTCAGTTTTTTTTATAGAGCAAATTAAGTGATGTAATCAGTTTTATAAGGATCAATACAATCTTAAGTCCATGATAAGGTTTTACTTCGTAGTGAAGATCGAGAAGACAGAAAAAAAAGTGAAGATTTAGACATCAGAATATATATTTCAACTTTTGACATTAGTCACATCAAAAGGAACTGAATAAACTACCACAAAAATAGAAAATACCTGTCAAATATTTACGTTTTACATCCAACGACCAGTTAGATTTGATTTTTAACAATTATCAAGTTATGCCATGAAGACTAAAGAAAATATTCTGATATTAAAAATAAATCATTATTAGGAAATTGAAAATTAAACTTTGATGGGAGACTGATTGTTGTTGCTAGAAAAAATAAACTTTTTATTGTGAAAATAAGAAAAGAATGGAATCGTATCCGCTTCTCTGACATACGATATCCGATTGAATTGAATTTTGATTGAACATATACTGTTTAGTTAGTATGTGTCGATAGATAGCTCTTTTGACATCAAGTAAAGCTATTTATTTTTTTCCCATGAGAAATGTCTTTAGTAAGTAAATGTTTCTTGACAGCATCATAATATTGTTTAAATTTAGCCAAAGATGAATGATCTTGAGCCAGTTCAAGTGCTTGTGAAAGATGTTGGAGAGCCGTTTCATAATCTCCTTTGCTATAATAAAGTAATCCAATATTATTACAGACTGTTGCTTTCTTTGTTCGTTCGCTTCTTTCATCATTGAGTGCTTTAGCAAAATATAGCAAAGCATTTTCTGAATCACCGTTCTTTTGGTATAAACAAGCCATATTGTTTAAAATATGAATTCGTGGTGGAACAGTACTCGAAGAATACAAAGGTTGAGGAATCAATGGTTCTGTATCGAATACTCTTGCAGAGATCAGTTTTTCTGCTTGCTGAAAATGCATTAATGCCATAGAATCTCTGCCTTGTTCAACATTGATCATTGCAATGTTATAATATAGAGTGACTCGTGTTTCATCTTTTATTGTTGATTCATCTAACATTTTATAATAAAACTTTTCTGCTTTGACATGTTGTCCCAACTCACGCAAAACATCACCCAACATAAGAAAAGTTGAATCATCCGCCAATTGTTCAAAATATTGAATTATTCTTAAATTAACATCACTGCATGACGATAGTGTAACGATCCAGTATAAATCATTGTTCTTTTGCACAGAGTTAATTTTCCATATAGATCCAATGGTGAATAACACTTCTTCTTCTTCTGGATATTGACTGATTACGGAAATATCAGCATATGTTCGGGTGATTGTCTCGTCAATACAAAATTCAAATAGTACACTCTCACAATCATTTCGATTATGTCCAACACCTGCAAATACTTCTAGAGCAGTGTCTCGACTAAGTGTAGTCGATAGAAATCCATTCATTGATATTAAAGCTCCAATATTATCTTGCAATTGTTGTAAAATAGTTGGACACAGTTTTTTACCGCGATACAATCGAAGTATTTTCTGTAGACTCTCTTGTTCTTTAATTAGTTTATCAAGTTCCGAATGAAGATCAATAATGTAGCGACGAAATATAAAGATACGCTCAAAATCTTCTGATCGAAACGCTCGACCAACCAATCGAAATAAAAAAGAGTCTGTAGTGTAATGCCAAATGGCATCATTAGATTTATAATTATTTTCAACAGCATCAATTTTTTTTACTTCTGCTGTATCATCAATGTAATATAGACGACATTCTGCAATCATTTCTGCAAGAGATTGTTCGTGATCACATTTCATTCGTGTAAGGATTCTAGTCAATGTTTGAAACAGAAAAAACTCCGGCGATTCTTTCTTCCAATATCGAAATGAATTTTCCATTATTTTTGAGTTCCATACACTCCATGGTGGTGGATCAACTGATTCACGACACCTGCTCGATGATGATTTCATAGTGGAAGGAGACTGTTGATTATTCAAATAAAGTTTTATATCTTCAGATATTTGTGTAAATAACTTATTCATCTCATCAACAACAACAACAGGATCAGTAGCGACAGATGAAGGTGATTGAAACAAATAAACCTTCTCATATTGTAGACGATTTTTAGCTACTCTACACAAATATTGAGCGTTTTTGCCAGTAATAATAAAAAATATTTTTTTCACAAGAAGAGGACGAGTCAGATATGCAATGAATTCAAATAAATCATTGAAAATACGAACATAAGTAAATAATCTACTCAAACGATTCCTCATTTTATGTTGGACATCTTTACTAACATCATCATCATCATGATACCATATACAGAAGAGATTTTGATCTGAGTCAGATCTAGATGAATTATCACTCGATCTAAAACGCAGACAAAAACTATTTTCTATCAATGACATTAAAGAAATAGTCAAATTAATTCTTACGGCATTATATTATTCTCTATAGACGATTGGTTGCTGAATTGGTTTGCAATTTTACTAATATTGCTGTTACACTGGAACATCTTTCTTTAATATCTAAAAAATGAAAATAAGCGTTAAATACTCAAGTTACAATCATCTGAAAAAAATTATTTTAAAATTGAAGTTTTATTATATAGAAGCAAGAATATTTTTAATCTTTTGTTCAAAATGAACACGCGATAAAGGATTAGTTGCTAATTCAAGTGCCTTTCGATAACATTTCAGAGCTTCTTCAACTTTCAATTGACGAAGATACACCTCAGCCATTTTATCATACAATATGCAATAATCAACAGCCGTTATATCTTCGATTGCTTGAGATAAAGTTCTCAAACAAACACCTTGTGAATTCTGATCTGTATTTGGAGGCATCTTATCAAGTAAATTCATGGCGATCTCGTAATATGTTGCTGCTTTTTTATCATCACCTGATCCTGCAAACATTAATCCCATATTGTTATAAATTGATGGAAGTGCCTGATGATTTTTGGGCAGTGCACTTATTAGATAATCATAGTACGATTTAGCTTCATTGAAGTGATTCAGAGCGCACAGATAGTTGCCGAGTGTTAACCAAGTGAGTTGTTCACCCATTTGCAGCTGTAATCGTGCTTGAATTGATTGAAAATACGAATCATCATATTTTAATTGAGCATACCAGACACCATCAGGTGCTAAATCGACAGATCGAATAGAAAAGATACTGCCAAATGGAAACATTAACCGATTATTGTTCAGTGCTAGTACACGTGTCTGTGCAGAAATTTCAATTTGAAATATGATAACCAACAATCCACGATCAGCAGCTTGCCGTGCAATTGTTCTCGCCGTCAATACATCTTTTGTAGTCAACAGATATGTATGAAAAGCAACCAGTTCTTTAACATTTTCAGTGATTGTTTTTAAGTCTTTCTCGCATAAAAATTGAACTCTATAGACAACAGCAGACGAAGTCGTCGGAGACAATTCAGCAAAACATTGATCAATAGTCTTCAGCAGTTGTTGGATATCAAGAAGATTTTGAGGAAATTGTTCTTGTAAGAAACTATTTATGATAACAGACAAGAACGGAACATTTATGAACCAATCGAAGATTTTATTTGGCTGAACTTTTAGAATTTCTAGAGCATTTTCACTGTCTGATTCATTTTCTACCAAAGTGAAACAACGATCGCACAGTTTTTGATCGCGACAAATAGAAGCAGGCGCTTCATGTAAAGTATTTACAAATAATTGAAACGCAGCAAACTTTGTTTGTTTACCTGTAAGACACAATTCATCATTATCTTCTATTTTATTTTGTGAAGCAAATATCGATACTATAGGTATATAAAGTGGTTTTTCCAAGTAAAATTTGATGTCGGCAGTTAAACACGTGAGTAGGAATTGGAGATTATCGAATAATCTGCCGATTTCTTTATAACTACATAGAGTCTTGTCCAGTTTTTGTTGATCGATAGACGGTACAAATAAATAGATTGCATAAATTTGTCTTGATACCGTAATTTTTCTCAGATCACGCATGATGCTCTTGATTTCGCCAGAAATAATCAAAAATACAGATCTAATATCAGTTGTTTCAAGATATTCTACACATTTGACGACATTGAGAAATTCTGAAAGATGGAAACGTTGACTGTCTGTATGAAACAATGCATAATTGTCGCAATGCAAAACAATGATACGAATTTGTTTATTTGAGATTGAATATTTTTGCACATTTGATAAATCTAACGAAACAGACGACCAATTCGATGGTTTAATTAAAGTTTGAGTGTAACATCTATCAATTAGTTCTTCATTTGACCAGAGTGATGATCGCGAAAGGATCGATTTGATATCTTTATATATTTGAGAAACAAGTATACTATAATCAGTCCAACAATCTTTAATTTTTGGAAAATGAGTCGTCCATGAAGGATCTGATTGATTATCATCTGGACAATATATATATATTTGTTCGACACATCGATGTTGATAAATTAATGGAACAATATATTTACCAACTGAACTTGATACAATGAAATAAACATATCTATCAGTTATAGATAGCAGATCAGTGATACAAACACATTCATCATCAAATAATTCCACTAAGTACGATGAATCTGATGATATTAATGAAGAATCGACATCAAGACATGCAATTAAGATATTGGAGATATCACTTGACATAGGTTTCAAAACCACTGATATATTATTCACAGTATCTGTAAACAAAAATGAGAACAAATATACATATAATAAATAATTTACTTTGTTCACAAGATGCGATGTAATGCTTGTACGGTTGTAGAGACAGACCAACAAGATCGCTATTGAAAACGGGAGCTGATTCAACATCAACTTCTTCACTTGATAAACGACGCTGAAATATACGAATCAGACTAAGTTAGGGAGAACCAAAAAGAAGATTCATATTATTGCCGGCGCTAGAATTAAATAGGTAAGGGAGCGTATAATGCGAATAACTCTAGAATGCGAGCAACTACTAACGAGTGTTTCTTAAGTTCCGATCCCCTTTTTATTTTTTTTTCGATCTTCATCATATTCAATCGTGGAGAGATATTGAATATATTTTTTGAAGAATGGCATCTAAGCTATCAATCAAAAAAAATTGTATTCGATTTGTATGCACTCTAAGAGAGAACTGCATCGATAAAGATTTTGAAAAAAAATTTTT